GTTTGTAAACGTTTAAACGATTGCTAAGAACCGAAACGATACCGTTTAAACGGTGGTACCTCTATGTACTATACACACCATGTATTTGAGTCGCCAAATTATGTCTTTCTTTCTATTTTTTACACGTGTACAAATAAGGGCTCATCACGATTGAGTCAGCACACACGCTTTGCATTGTAACCCCCTTTTTAACCAAAAATGTATTATGTCACAAGCAATTTTGCACCGTAATGCTGTGTGGAGGATTGTTAACACCTATTTTCCGTTTGTTTACTTTGGAATAAACCACTAGAATTGATAAAATCCATGATTACAGGCAATGATTGAGAAGTTGTATGGTCATTTCGATTAAACGGTAAACAATATTGTAAACGTTTATGAATGAAAATCGAAACGAATCCGTTTAAACATGTAATCGTGGGGGCCTTACTGTGAGGGGTCAGCAAGCTAAACCACTTGGCTGCAGTCAGAGCCCCTGTTTTGCATTAAAATTACACATGTATGAAAAAGAAATACCAAAACCTCTTATATATGACCACTTGATAAACTTTATCTTTAATGCTTGCAAACACATGTATTTTTTAAGTCCTGTATATACTTGTGGTTGAAAGTTGACAATAAATAGTTTTGGACTAAGGTTTATCAAAAGCAAAACAAGTTAAAACAGCTGGCAAATTCATCCTTTTTTTAATGAAAGCTCTAAAAAAGTATTTAAAATTTTAAATGTGAAATGTTGTGAAGTGAACAATTTTTTTTTTTTACAAAATTTGCTTGCAATCCACATAAATTACCAAAAAGGAGATCAAACAAGATTGCATTTGAGAAAAATGCTATGCCACCGCATTAATACAACACTAAATAGTAGTGTTTTTGTTTCTATACAATTTTGAAGATTGTCATAATGCATGGATCCCTGACCTATCTAATTCTTATTATCAGATTAGTGGTTAAATCTGTTGTTAACTCGACAAAAGATCAGAGTAGGAATATATCAATGCACTCGAGTCTAGTGAATTTGGTGGTGAAGGTCATATTTCACACAGCCTAATTTTCATGACTACATCAAAGGACAACACAGTAAGACACTTTGTCAAAATCTAGGTCAGCTGATATCAAAGTTTACTTTACATCTTAATCTGTGCACATGGTTTAAATTTCATAGCTGTACATCAAAGGACAAGAAAGTAGGTCACTGTCCCATTGTAAATTTAGAGAAGATGATTTTTTAAGTTTTTACTCTATACATATAAGGAAAATCTATTGCCCCTGGGGCGGAGCTAATTTTGACTCTAGAGGCAAAATTTGAACAACTTTGGTAGAAAACCTATAAATGATATCATTTAACAAAGCCTTTTACCTTCAGACAATAAGATTTATTTATTTTTTACTATATGTATATATTGAAAATCAATGACCCCCGGGGCGGGGGCAATTTTGACCCCCAGGGCTATAATTTGAACAATCTTGCTAGAAGTTCACTTCACAATGTTTCATGCAAAATATCTAACCTCTAGCATTTGTCAATTGCTAGAAGAAATTTTTTAAAGCTATTACTTTAAGTTTTTACTTATAATATACATATAAGGAAAACCAATAACCCCCGGGGCAGGCCCGATTTTGCTCCCAGGACTATAATTTGAACAATCTGGGTAGAGGTCTACCACGCAATGCCTTATACAAAATATCTAAGCTCTAGGTCTTTTGGGTCTTTACAAGAAGGTATTTTAAGTTTTTACTGTATGTACATATAGTGAAAATCAATGACCCCTTGGGCGGGGCCAATTTTGACCCCAGGGCTATAATTTGAACAATCTTGGTAAGGGTCTACCAGACAATGCCTGATACAAAATATCTAAGCTCTAGGTCTTTTGGGTCTTTACAAGAAGGTATTTTAAGTTTTAACTATATGTACATATAGTGAAAATCAATGACCCCCAGGGCAGGGCCGGTTTTGACCCCAGGGCTATAATTTGAACAATCTTGGTAGAGGTCTACCAGGCAATGCCTTGTGCAAAATATCTAAGCTCTAGGCTTTTGGTTCTTTACAAGAAGATTTTTAAATTTATTCTAATAATTCCTTTTGGTTGCCATGGCAACCAGATTTCTGCATGGAATGAAATTCTTTCAACAACTTTGGAAGCCCTTCACCCAAGGATCAATCCTGCCAAGTGTGATTGAAATTGGACTAGTGGTTTTTCACAAGAAGATTTTTTAAGTTCACTATATAATCTATATAACACATACACACACAAACAAACACACACACACACACACACACACACACACACACACACACACACACACACACACACACACACACACACACACACACACACACACACACACACACACACACACACAGGTGAATCGCTATATGCCACCGCATCGCAGATGCTGCGGTGGCATAAAAAAGCAAAAATAGCCCTAGGACCTTGCACTGTGTTAGTAAGACAGTAAGAGATATGGTGGTAAACACTGACATTAATTACTGCAAAGTCCAGTCCTTAATCCTAACATGAAAATTATCATTTGTATATATACTTGAATTTAAAACATTTTTTCTTTTCTACATTTGTATCAAGTTTTATTTTCTTGAATATTTTGGCTCATCTGGAGGCATGCCGCTTTAAGAGCCAAAAGTATACTTTTATTAAAAAATAGTGGGCCTAATATTTATCTGGCTCGACTAAACCGACATAACAAGGGCTGCATGCTGGTGAATTCAAAATTTATTTTCAGCTTGAGTATATGTAGAGCAGTGCTACTCACTCATGCATTGGCATCTGTACTATTCAGTTTTAGTGCAGCAATATAATTTGATATTTCATTTTTTTAACTTTTAACTTCAAATATTATATATGTTCCTTATCATCACTCACATAATATGGGACTCCAGTTATTTTTCTCACTTAATCACTTTGGGTAGAAAATCAGCTGGTGTACATAAGGAAAACTGCATTATTTCAAAGAAAAATTCAATTGGAGAAGTAGCTCCCCTAAAGCCTAGTATAAGTTACTCTATACATGTTTTTACTCTAAACATAACTTGAATTCCTTCTTTTTTCAGGGATACACTTCAATATAATCAAAGTCCCTTAGCCTTGGTGCAACAGAAATAAGTGTTGAATAATGAAAAAAATAAATATTTAAGCGAAACCTGATTCAAACTTTGTTGCTTTAATTTAATGAATATTAGACTGCTGCATTTGCCATTATCTTACTACCTGAACCATACTAGGGATAATGGTTCACAAAATGTGTGTTTGATAATAACTTACTAATAAATATAAAGGGGGAAGGGATTTCGGCCCTCTACCAACTTGGCACGGGTCAAATGGGCACAGGCCAACTCGACCCACTTTTGAAAAAAAACATAACTTTTTCTGATAACTGCAAGCTGTTTCAAACTTTTTTCCTTGACATGTCAAAGTCAAACATTCAGTATCGGGCATAATTTCAGTTTCAAAGTCAAACCGGCAATCAAAAATAAACATGCATGAAACAATTTGCTGATCACTTATAAATTCAATATAACAATCTGGCACATAGTAAATATTTACAAGTTCTCCAAGAAAATCGCCTGGCCTGTTTGTTATGTTTATCGAAATAATATGACGTGAATATCGATGATGTCATTTTGGAAATTATTTATAAATTGTGACGTCACTTCATTAAGTTGGTGCTTAAAACTTAACTATTCGCTATCTAATCTGTTCGTAATTGAAAACGAATAAAATAACAAATAGACTTGTCAGGATATTAGATAAAATTGTTGGATTAAAGGCTAATAAGCTATTGAAACAAGTCTGTTAAAATGGGGGGAGCTTATTTTTGATATCAGGTTACTAACCTGATATCAAAAATAATTATCAGTCAAGTGTAATCGAGCAGTTATCATCGCAGTTGCATGATAAAAATTAATATAATACAAATATGTTCCCTTCAAATTGATGCTTTTTGTTTGTAAAGTGATCTTCAATAAAAAAAGAAATATAAACTTGTTTACTTATTATATAAAATATTTCTAAATGTTTGTTATTTATCTTGTATAGATCTACATAAAATAACATGTAATGCATTTATCAACAGGCAATGTATTTTGCAATGTCAAAAGGATGGATTGTAATGAATTCATATATCCCAAATCATTGAAAACTCTATTACCAAAAATGTAATAATAATTTAAGAAAACGTCTTTCAACGTTTGTGAATAAGTCCATTTATCCTGCTACTGTCTATATCATCAGCTGGATAAAGCTTTGCCGGATAAACTTATCTATCTCCAGTCATTACGTCATATGATTACGTCACGTGTTTAGCAGCAAAACAAAACTACATATAGATGCTATTTTATCGGGGAAAAAGAAGAATGAAACCATCTAATAATTATAAAAACATGATTAAAGCAGGATAAATCAAATACATGGTTGATGTCGGGATGGAGAAGGTTTATCCGGTTCGCTGCGAAAGTGAATCTTGGTTCGCTAAAGCTCGCCAAGATACACTTTCTCGCTCACCGGATAAACCTTCTCCATCCCGACATCAACCAATGTATTTTCTATATATCAATAATATGGTTCCAACAACAGAGAGTGATAAAACAAACCAATATATTAACACTGATAATCAGATTAATAAATTTTTAAGTGGGCCGAGTTGACTATGGAGTTGATCCGTGCCGCGTTGGAATAAGGCCGAGCTGACTCGGGGCCGAGTATGTTAGGGCTGAGCCAACACTTATTCCAATCAAATACATATAATTAGACAATATATCAGTAAACTTAAGTGTGCCATACCCCTAGATCTACAAATGTCGGCTGGCTGGTCGGCTAAAACAAAATTAAGAAACGAAACTCATCGAAAGTTGAGCTACATACCGCCCATTTCTTAAAACAGACTGACATGGCCTACAGTACCTGTAAGCATTAATAAAAACTAACATACTTTCATCGATGCTTGAAATAACCACATTCTAATATAAAATATCAATACAAACTTACCTCGATCAAAGCTCTTCGATTTTCCATCAACTCGACATCGGGAACGAACGATGTCGAAAGACTGCCACTGATTTGGACAATATTTCATCCACACGATACAAAGTTGGTATCGTAGAAAATATCTCTATGCTCATGAATAAAAGGAAGAACTACACTTGGATTCATTAATGAGCTTCTAAACGAGGTTAACACACATTTGTACCAGAAAGTCTTACATTTCTCACGGCCCCGTCCGACAACTACCTGCGCATGCGCAGAACGTAAAGTCTTACGTTTCTCACGGGTCTGACAAAATTCACGCCACACCGGAAAACCCAGAAAACGTATGTTGATGAGTATAATCTATGATAATATATCACGAACGAAATATATATATGGATGTTATTGGAAAGTAAGTGTGAGATGTTTCGATTTACATATCTATATATAGCAGATAATAATCTCTTTTAGAACAAAATTGACACCGTGAAACATCCTGCATATTCATTCCCTAGATCTAGCACCATGCGATGTCTGGCTTGAAATCAGAGCAGCGTGGCAAGAGTTTGATGACAATCATGATTTGCCAATTGTTGTTCGGAAACGAATCGTAAAATTCCCCAAGATCAGTTCAAGTCCTGCTTTGACAAGTGGAGTCATAGATGAGACAAGTGTGTATCGTGTAGTTGAGAATATTTCGAAGAAGTGTGATTTATGCGTGGGACCGATTTTTCAGACGCTATATCCCATCCAGAAGTAAGTTGCCCCGCTCAACGTATTGTAGAATGTGCATTTATGCAAATGGTGATTTTTGTCAACAGGATCATCAGCATCCTCCTCCAAAGTAACAGTGTTGAATATTCTATCTAGATGTGTTTGTTAATAAAAAGGTTATGAAGCATTTCCGAATAGTTGTCTTATAGCCTTTGTACCATAAATGCATTTAATGGTATATTTAATTTAAATGACTGACTGACTGACTGACTGAGCATATTCAGGAGAAGAAAACCAACGAGAAACTTCGGACGCTAGTTACTTTTCAATACTTCATATTACTACAATTGTTACAACAGTCCAATAAACCTTTCTTTATACATATACAACCGCCGCATTATCCTTCCAGATCTATACGTATTCAACATTCATAATCTATAACATAACAATAAATCACTTTCATTTTAACATGTGATCCGTATACATTGATTGTACAAAGATTTATTTTGTAAGTAAAGAAAATAAGAATCCGTAAAGAAAGTTCAAAACAATAAAATTGAAATTGTTGCAAGTTCCGGCGTGATTGAGCCTGTTCATGGACAGCACTGTCAAGTGCAAATTGTCGTCCACGACCCCTAGCACCTGCTTAAGCAGAATTCATTGTTAAAACATTGCATTCGCCATTAGTTGTGTGGTATAGTACACTGATGTATTTTGTAAAATAAAGAAAATAAGAATTCATAAAGAAAGTGTTCAAAAAGCACATTTGAAAATGTTGCAGGCTCAGTTTGATTGAACCTGTTCATAGACAGTACTGTCAGGTGCAAACTGTCGTCCACGACCCTTAGCACCGACTGGAGCGGAATTCAACATTAAAACATGAACATGGTGAAATTGTGAATTTAGAAACATTGTAAATAAACAAATAAATTATATTTTTATACATATATCTTTGTTTTACAGGTGATTGATAAATTTTTGTTGTACATTTTTGTCTAGTAATAATTATAAGTAATTTTCACTTAATTGGATTCATAATTTAAGTATTTGTAAAACTGAACTTTGTAATCATGTTATCATTTCATATTATATTTAGATGTGTCATGTTTATATTTTGAATTGTATTGCCATTAGTTATGTATAGAACACAGATGTACTTTGTACATCAATAAATAAATTATGTTTCTATATCTTTGTTTTATAGTCTTTCAATTCCTTCCAAAGGACCCATGTTCTTCAGATAAAAATTGTTTCCACGAACCAGCTGATTAGCCGCGGCAAAGTTTATATGAGAACTCTACCGACGAGTGAACCCATGGTAACAGCATGACATTGCCAGGTTGGCATTTTGTACGGCTGGCAACGAAATAACCTAACTTACCGAAGTATTTATACTAATAATGATAACAATTAGAGGTATCTAGTAGTAAATAAAACATCATTACGTGTCGTGCTTTTTGTTCTGGTGATATATTCTTCTAAAAGAAAATTCAACAATGGAAGTTCTGTTATATTTTTACTGAGCCGGAAACATATCTACCTGTATATAGTTTGAATTATCAATCTTTGAATAATTAAGGTAATTTAGCAGAAATAATTGGTTTTATAATACTTCGCTGCTCACATTTTTTTAAATGGAATATTGGCTTTGCAACGGTTGCTATGGATAAATGATGCCCACGTGACGGATTGATTCCATTGTAGTCTATATTGTCATATAAATTACTCGGAATTGAGACATTGAGATTGCAAGAATGTGAAATTAACTGGACGCAATTTTCTGCCATTTTCAAAGACAATCAACATTAAAAGGATCTACCGCAAAGATTTTGATTTCACAAAACAAATAATTATAAAGTATCTTTTATTTTTCAAAATTGCATGGATGATTGTAAAACATCAGCTGTACAGTTAAATGATGGTAACCTAAGAAAATGTTTCACAAATTAGTGATATGTTACATGTGTATAACCAGTGTGCTTTAATATTCCAATACGATTTAAGAACGCATATACTATGACTGGTTGAAAACTATGATGGGAATTTGAAAAATAATACAGGGGAATTAAAAAAAAAGATTGGAAACAAATTGGATATTAATTTGAATAAAAAGAAAACGACTCTCTTCATTTCGGCATATCTCTCGCGATTTATAAATAATAGAAATGAGCATGCAGCCGTAAAAAAGGTAAATTACTAGCCACTATGAAAAACTTGTGAATAAGATGTAAACAACTTCAGGGATAGGTCCGAATGTTTCAGCATTATGGATTAAAATCCCGCAAGACAAAGTTTTACTTTCAGGCATTTAACAACTCAACAACAAATGACTGGACCAAGTACGAATCCGTAACACCAAACCTACATTTCGACATTGTAGGTATTTGGTCAGGGGTTATCTGGAGCAGGGCATGATTATGACCATGACAATTCTCGAAAATGACTCTCTACAGTTCGGTATTGCACAAGAACACTCCGATTCAGAAATGGAAAATACATTATTCACGGACTTCGACAAGTTTTCACTTGAAATAAAATTTATTTACATTATAATAAGTACGCTAGTTATAACTATAAACGTATTAGCAATGGTTGTATTGCGGAGAACTAAGAAAATTCCTTACGCTTCTAAGTTCTTGTGTACTGGAATTTTGTTATATGATTTGAATTTTGTCGTAGTATCAACGATTAGGAAATTCATAGATGATCCGGCAACGAACTTAGCTTTTCAGGTATTTGGCAGCGTTTCTTACCATCTGTCACTTATAAGCGTAATGATGATGTCAGTTGAACGGTTCCTTTTATTCTACTATCCAATGCGGTATTTGAGAATTGTATCAGAGAAGATGACGAGAATTGTGATACTTTCCACGTGGTCTTTGTACGTTGCTTCATTTGTGATTGTGCGTTACGGTGTTTGTTATTTACGCCTAAAATCAGAAAAAGTATTCGTTCAAGCTGGCGCATGTAACAATATCATATTTACACATTTAGGAATATGTCTTCTGATAGTGACAACAGTATCATGTATATGTAACTGGAAGATTCTAAGATTGATACAGTCTAAAAAGTATCGAAGCAACGGCGGATTATCGTTGTCATCAACCAGGTCAATTCTGACTTATTACAAATCAACGGGGCTTGTCCTTACCTGCCTTATTGTGTTACTTCTGACAGGATTTGCGTATGGTACCATAATAATTGCTGTCCGATATTTTGATGTTGGAGTTCTTTATTTACGAATTTCATTTGAAGGTGTGTCCACTGTAAACTCTTTGATAGACCCGGTTTTGTATATTATGTGGTTTAAAGAATGCCAGATGGAGGTCATGAAAATGTTTGCATGTCTGAACCGGAAGTTACATCAAAAAGCGGAGGAAATGAGAATAGAGATTTTCTGTATTGTGGTATCGGAAAGTTTCACGAGATCACGAAATACATTTGATTCTAGTGATGTGTAATAGAGAAGTTGTTAATTTTTCCGATTAAACAATGTCTTGACAGTCTTTACCTGTGTATGTTTTGAAAAAAATTTAATAGCAGTATTTAAGAGATAAATGTAGAATATTTAGGTATATGAATGAAACATTTGCTTGTCATCCATGCATTTGATCTTTTTTTAAACATAGAGGGTAAATTTGATGGTTATACACGTTTATTTTGTTACAAAAAACGCATGTAAATAGTCGGCCATTCTTTTATACAGTTATAGCTCAAATTAAATTTGATCGAAGTTGAATCACATCTCTATCTGTTTTGCTATCATTTTCAAATCAAATCATGTAGATTCAAATAATAATTGTCAACACATTAAGGATATTTACAGATTAAATAATGCATTGATGATTTGCATATATTATTGGTATAAGACCACGTTACTTACCAAGGCTGCAGCGGTCGGATAGCTCAGTACGTAGAGCAGCGGAAAAGTATTCTGGGGATTCCGTTCAACGACAACAACAACAACAACAACAAAATATATTGTATATTTCTATGCGTAAATTGCATATTTACATAATATTTTTGGTTTAAGTGTTTTGATTAAAATATCTTTCAGAATATTATGTTTTCATATGCTTTACCATTTTTCTTCATAATTATATAGTCTGCCTTGTATTTACAATTTTGACCTTTATTGGCACAGCCACACAATTATAACTTTACAGTATTATACCGCCATGGGAATGACAGGGAAACTGAAATATGAACTCTATAATTAGCAATTTAATAACATAGATAAATGAAAAAATAAACCTGCTTTTTGTTATATTAAGTACGTGTCAAGTCACACTCTATCAATTAAAGCTGTGAAGGCCAAACGAACGAAATATAGCGACTTTCTGAATATTTTAATTGATACATTTATATCGGATCAATACTATTTTTCTTAGGCTGTGCATCAGATA